CCTCCAGCTTCCCCAATCAAGACTACCTTCATAAAAGAGACAATGATCTTCCAGACGTGGATATAGAGCAGTGGGAATCTCCTTAAAAATGGGCCCAAGCTCATATTCTCGTTGCTCATGGCGACAGGGAATGAAGATGCGTCCGTCGATGGCACTTTTCTTACCAGCCTTGTATTTCTCACACTCTTTATCAATGATCCTTTTCAAGGCTACGGATGGACTCGCACGTCAATGAATGCACCAAAAACACATAAATGCCTTAACCTCTATCATGCATGATCAAGAGGGTCGGCGACCGAGAAATGAGGCACGTTTCATCACTTCAAGTATGAAACGTCCCTCATTTCTTGTGTTTGGATCAACGCCCGATCCAAACACAATGCAATGCAACATGATCAACTTATCAATGCTAATGGCATGCACAAGATTCCAACATATGAACAATGCATGCATGGCAAGTTTAGAAGCTTAAGGCATCAAAGCTAGGAAAGAGCATCTCACAAGAGGCATGCAATGCAATGCTCAATGGACTTAAACCGAATACGGGCAGACCTAAATCATGCCAAAACAGTGGCCAACACACCAAAACTTAGGCACAAAAAGGCAAGATATGCATGCTCATGTAATGGCTCATCAACTAAGCATAAAAGCACAACTCTTAAACATTATCAAAGAGGGATATGCATGTGAATATGACAATGCTATATGCCCTGAAATAACATGTTAAATGATGCCATGACATGCAACTATCATAAGTATGGCATGCTAGGGTCCTTAAAACACAAGACTAGCTAAGCCCATTGTACTACAGCTATGCAAAACCAAACTTGCATGATCAAAATCGATTAAATCAGACCTCAAGTATGTTAAATCAAAGCCAAAAATGTACTGGAATAAAGCATACACATGCTAGATCAATAGGCTAAAACTCCAAACATGCTAGGCTAGTAAACAAGATTGCACTACAAGTACATGAAGCATGCAAGTGGCAACCAAACCAACCCAAAACAGAGTTATAACATGTTAAACTAAGGCCTAAAACATGTTGAGATAGAGCCTCAAGAAGGTAGAAGAAAATGCCAAAGTGTTGAACCAACAACACATGCAAGCAAAGCACAAAAGGGGGGGGGCACCCCCATCCATTTTGGATCTCAAAACCCACTTTCCACCACTGAAATCCCTCTGGAATTTAGTGATGGAAAGACCAAACAAAGGTGAACTCAAGGGCCTAAGGGGATGGCACCAAAGCTAAGCACATAAGGCACATAAGAGGGTAGAACATCCTCAACACCAAAGAGGCCTCAAACAACCATTCTAAGCACTTAAAAATAGAACTTTTTGTAGTTAGCAACCAAGCCTAAAACAACATGAAAGGAGGGCTAACATGGTATACAAAAATATGCCTAAAAGAGGAACATGCTCACCCTTGAAGTACAACAGCAAGACATGTCTTTTTCTGAGCCAAAACCAGCCTTTTGAGTTCCAAACAAACCTCCAAAAGTCTCAGCTCCAAGGTAGTGGTGTTTGACTTGGTGTTCTTTTGCAAAAATGTGAAGAAAACACACATTAAGGCACTATTGAGCACAATATATATATATATAGAGAGAGAGTGAGTGAGAATTCTAGAGAGAGGGTGAGATTTTGTCTCTAAAAAAATCTGAACCTCTAGAAAGGGGGAGGAGCCTCCCCTTATATAGAGCAATTCAATGCAAAGCTTGCTTGACAAGCTTGAAATGGCCTCCATCTCTCCATATGGAGGATGGCTCAGTGAAAAACAGCTGGCTCAAAAGATCTAAAACAATATCTTCTGAAAACAAGGTGTCCTGCCGGCCATCAGTGGTGGCCGACAATGCCTCATTGATGGCCGGCAGGCCTTATCAATGACCGGTAGGGCTAAATCCATGGTCGGCAGGCCATCACAAACATCAATATGGAGGGACCAAGGCATGGTCAAAAAATGAGACAGAACAGAAATAGGGTTTGGAAAGAGCAAACTTGGCATTTCGTCGCGAAAGTTGAGCGCTCAGCGAGCAATCAAACTTGTAATCGGATGTACCTGCAAGCACATCTAAGTCTTGAGGATGGTCAAAAATGGGGTATCTGCAGTTGCCCCTCTTTGACAGAACTCGAAAGTCATAAAATGACGGGAGTGAATGTCAAAGCTCGAAGACGACCCATTTTTGACAAGGCCGAAGATTCAGACAAACAAACGAGATAACAATATAGATGCGCCCGCAGGCTGGGGCAAAATGCAAATGCCATGCACGATGCAGATCATAACTTATGATTATGCAAAGAGGGCTGCAATGAAACATTTAGATGCAAATGTTATGTAAAGCAATGCTACAGCGAACTCGCACATAAATAAGTAAACACGAACCAAACTACATCTCATGCAGAAAGGATGTAAGAAAATTATGCAATCTTAGCGAACGTGCGATAGATACACAAAGTGAGTATGTGATAGATACACAAAGTGAGCATGTGTGATAGATACACGGAGTGAACATGTGATAGATACACAAAGTGAGTAAAGTGTGATAGATACACTAGGTGAACAAGGTGTGATAGATACACTAGGTGAACAAAGTGTGATAGATACACTAGGTGAGCAAAGTGTGATAGATACACTAGATGAACAAAGTGTGATAGATACACTATGTGAGCAAAATGTGATAGATACACTAGGTGAGCAAAGTGTGATAGATACACTAGGTGAGCAAAGTGTGATAGATACACTAGGTGAACAAAGTGTGATAGATACATAAAAGTGAGCATTCTTGAACAGAACTTCTCTGAATGGACCACACATCCAATATTGCCTGGTTGTGCCAACCTCAAATGAACCGTACATACAATATTGTGCTTGCACAAAAGAGAACTTTGACAGGTATAATATAGTAGAAACCCATGTTCAACGTTATATCAAGATATCACTTCAAGATAAGATATATGCGTATATATGCATGGTGTAAACGAAAAGATGCAAAACAATGCAAATGAAGAGGTACACAACAATCCAAGTGGAGCATGCATAGCAATGCAAATGAAAAGGTACATAGCAATGCAAGGATTCAAAACGCACTTTCAATGTAACAACAAAGCAATATATACCCTTTTGCGGCGACCAAAGCGCGTACGAAAGAGAACACTCAACGGTAG